TGGAGGAGATGCTCTGGAAATCTTCTCATAACAAGTAATAAACTAACACATAAGCTTAGAAAGACAGGATCTCACAAAGTATATTGTTTATTAACAGTTTTTTCCCCATTACTAACTGCAGTCTAACAGGGTAATGATCTCCTACTCTTGGGTTTTTAGTTTAGTGTGGGTTACTTTTCTTTCTCCTTAGTTGTAGCTCCCCTTCCCTTCTTTTCTTTGTAGTTTATGTAGTATTATAAAAAATAAAAAAATCCCCTTCGGGGGTCTTAAAAAAAAGAAAAGAAAGTAGTGGTGTGGCAAGGGGATGACAACAGTGACACAGAGAGTTTGAACAGTTTTCCTACCGTTCAGAGCGCACCCCAAACTGTACCTAACAAGAAGTCTAATTCCAATTACAATGTGCACTCCACTCAGTGTTCTGTACTATCTCCTTTTTGCCACACACAGTCAAATCTACAAAACCATTCGATGGGAAAACAAAATTTAAGCGAGTGAAACAATCTAGCAACTTGGGATACAGTGGGTGGAAAAACAGCATTAAATGATTTCACTTAATTATTTACATGCAGGAAAGCAGACCAAGGTATTTGGAGTGATAGTCAGCCGGTTCAATACCAGGAAGTACTAAACAGCCCACAGTGAATGGAGAAGGAAGAGGTCCAGAACTGATGCACTACTACTAATGATTGGCAAGCTAAGTAGACCGTAAGTTTGGGAGGGGAAAAAGCAATAAAGTTGAACTACTATTCTCTATCATGTTTTCAGACAGAGTCTCCTTGCAGAAATTGCTAGGTGCTTGAAGTTCAGCACTTCTGGAAATTGTTGTGTGAAATATGCTCCTCTGTCAGAATTATAGATCATGCCCCCTCCCCAGTTGAGAAATCTATGTTCTGTTTACAAAATGCTCATAGTTTCTCTTGACCAATCTACTAATTTGTAAAAAAAAATTGTTTTGGTTAAGAATTAGAAACTTGTCCTCAAAATAAGGCCTTGAAGCTGACAAGTAAATACAGACTAAAACAATCAAGAAGCTTCATTTGAGGCGGAGCTTCTCAAAACGTAGGTTGGGACCCTAAAATTGTCTGTGAAACTGTCACAGGTGAATCAGAAGTCCAGGACAAAAGGAACAGAATGAGGAGGAAGCCTTGATGGCAAATGTAGCTTTTGCTGCTGCATAATTTATGAAATGTTGGTGTAATACACCCTGCTGTATAACAGGTCCTGTTCCACACAAATCTTACCTTGCATTCCAGAGGGGCCAAAATCCTGCCTTGTGAGAAAAATAGCATGATCGTGATATTCAGCATGTCCAGTATCAGGTTTCTGCTGTAGGTAGGCCCAACGACATACATTCTCTAAGCTCTGAGAAGGGTTACCGATCTCAATTAAGCTCATGGACTAAATGATTAAAGAAAGAAAAAAGGAATATGAGTTTTGAGCCTACCTATCTCTGTCAAGAGCCTTTAAGATATTTAGGGTTACCAGGGCCTGGCAACCAGTGTGTGTGGGGGGGACCATATATGTGGTGGAAGCGCCCATCAGAGATGTAATGACAGTTCTGGTGATGCACTGACAGCACTCCCTGTGCAGCCAAAAGTGACGTCAGTGCACCCAGTTTAACCACAAAGTTTGGCCCAAATTCCAGAGCATTCCCAGGGTCACCTGGTGACACACATCACTTGCATCACTCCCAGGAATATGGGAAGAGACATCACCACATCAGGATGCTGCTGGCATTCCCCTGTTTGCTGCCATTTTTTTCCCCTGCCAGCCAGGTGAGTGGTGGTGGGGAAGTGTCTGCTGGGGGTGGGGGAATTCCCTGCCCCCCATAGAGGGCTAGCATCCTGAAGGTATTTCAGTAATATGTTAGAGATCTTTTATAGCAACACTGTAACAGCAAACCAAGCCTCTAAACATAAGCCCAGTAATTTGTTACACTTTGATTATTATGGTACATAATTCATATTATTATGCTAAATAATTCATAAATAAGCAGAATTGTAGCATAAAGTGCATGTGAATCTTCTAGATGTTTACTGACACAGAACCCCCAAATTAAAAGCCTATGTGGAAAGATTTGATTTGGCCGGGCATATAGAAGTGAAGTAGATGCCAGGCAAGGCTCAAGGGAGAAGGCATTCCAGGACCTTTCCGCACTTGGATCTCATCCCTGGTTTTATCAGAGTTCAACTCACAACACAATACCTTGCATTTATCCCTGGTTATAATAGCATCCATTTATCCCGGGACAAGTGTGGGGCAAAACCGGGGTGACCTCAATGTAATGGGGAAACAAAAAATACCCTGAGATAACTACAGGGGTGAACTCGCATGTGGTGTAGAATGTAAGTTTGGGGACAGAGCTGAACCAGAATTTAAGGTCTAGTGCAGAAAAGACCCCAGAGATGAGTTGCCACCACAGAAAATACCCCATCTCTAGTAACCACCTGCCTCACCTTTGAAGGTGGAGGCACAGAGAGCAGGGTTTGAGAGTTACATCTTGTTTGCGATATCCAACCTCTGACCTGACCAACCAATATGATGAATCTGCAGTTCTCCCCCCCGTTATATTCTATCTAATCTATACTGGACATGGATTAATCAATAGACATGTTAATAGAAGTAAGGGCATATGATCGCTAGCAATAGTTTCCCCCAGTTCAAGTCAGTTTACCAAATCAATTCCTGGGACAAGTGTGGGGCAAAACTGGGCTGGTATTTTGATAGATAAAATTGGGGAGACCTAGGATTCAGGTCTTCTTACATAAGGGCATATGATCGCTAGCAATAGTTTCCCCCAGTTCAAGTCAGTTTACCAAATCAATCAAACCAGCGGAGATAAGAAAATAGTCTATAATACTTGCCCCAAAATTGTTCAAACAGGTAATAAATTTTCTACTATTTATAAATGTGGCCAGTCGTTTACCAGGTAAATTGATTTTGTTATCCTTAAATGATCTATATGGGTGGTTAAAACAACTTATTTCCTCCATCTCATATCTCCTCGCATACAGGGGAGGAACATTTCACCAATATCTCTGGTTTGACCAAAGATTAACTTGGTCAGGGCCAACTGCTCATGTTAAAAGATTGGCTACAGAAGCATCAAATATGATCTGTTGTTTCCTTTATTCATCTGGGGCTCAGTCCTCCATCAAACTGTTTAACACCAAGGTAGCCACACAAAGTTTATATGGGGCTAATATTTTGATAGATAAAATAGGGGAGACCTAGGATTCAGTTCTTCTTAAATTCTTTCAGCATGGCGCAACAATCTCATCTGCAGCAGTCAAATAGTGTGGGAGCATCTGCCCAGTTCTGCACCGCTGACTCTCCAGTCTGCTCATATAGGTTTTCCTTTGTAACCCCCTACCAGCAGTGAGGATACAATAACTGAAGGCACAATTGGAGTGTCTCCACCCACTCCCCCCCCAAGCAGTCTCCTGCTCCCTCCCTTTCACTAGTTTGTTGCAGGCCACATAAGAGCCCTGGATAGGCTGGTTCCAGCCCTCAGGCCTTATGTTTGACACCCCTGATCTAGAGTTTTGCAAGGGAGGTATCTTAAGAAGACACTGCACTCTGATACAGTATGCGACTATGGTGCGGGTAGAATAGACATCCTGTGCCACATGACCTTTGAACATAATTACTTTTCTGAATCTAGAAGTTTTTATTAAATCTGAGACATTACCTCTTTTATTAGAAAATAACAGCAGATCTATCACTCAGCTGCAAAATTTTATACATCTGTGGTAGATTTTCACGGCCATTTAAATGGGGTCTGGTTTTTTATATTTTAGTAATCTGCTTACAACTAATACGTTAAGAAGCAGTATGAGGTAGATACATAATATAGACATATGATTAGTGTAGAAACTCCTTTGTCTTATGGTTGCCATAAAAGAAAAATAATTTTTAAAAATCACTGCTGGGAAAACAGCATGATGTCAGTTTTTTGAGAAACCCAGAAGTGATATCAGTCCACTCTAAGAATCACCAGAAACTCTGTGGTTTTGCCAGAGTTTCCGATGATTCCTAGAGAGGCATGACATTCCTTTGGGGTTTTCCTTTGGGGTTTTCCCTGGAAGCGACCTCATGCCACTGCCCCAAGCCACTGCACCCCCCAAGTCCCCCGCGGATTTCTGTCATTACACTCCCAATTTTTCCAGGAAATGATTTGGTGCGTGCGACTATGTCTAGAGCAGCATCCTTTGTTTAAAACAAATTGCCTGAAGGAAAAAAGTGCTGCAAAATTTCACATAATTAATATTGGTAGAAGTGACACTAGTTTTACCACAAGAGGTTAACTCTGTTTCAAATCTCAGTAAATGTAAAATTTATGTGGCCACGTAATTTGATTGGAAGGCCAAATCAATTAATCAAGCTGTCTTGTATCCAATTCAGACTGTCTTATACACTTACATTTTACAATTTAAATGCCCTGTATTGTCAGATAAACACAGCACAACATCTAACAGTACAGAAAGCTTGTGACTCCTCATTCAGCTTCCAGAGTGAAGGAGTAATCATAATAATCATAAGTAAATGCTGATTGGATGTGTGTCAGAATACATCATAGGCATATTGTGACTAGCTGGCATGCTTACGTATAGTTTTATACCTATACTAGGAATAAGGCCCGTTGTAGAAATAAAAACAATGAGCTCTAGAAAGAGGCTCTGGGCGGGTGCCCTGGCCTTGGGCACTCAGCATCAATTTGCTGTGGTGACCTCAGCAGGATATAATGACACCGAGCTTACAGTTTTCTCCAGGGGAACTGATCTCTGCCATCTAATTAGCAGATGTAATTCTGAGTGATCTCCAGCCCTCCCCTGGAAATTGTCAACAATAGTTCCCCAGGCGGAAATGGCTGGTTTGGAGGGTGGAGTCTCTGCATTGCACCTGTCTGAGGACCCACCCCTCCCTCTCCAGGCCCCACACCTCAAATCTCCAGGAATTTCACAACCCTATTTCCTTCCCAGCAAATCATCAGCGTACCTTGATTTGCCCCTCTGACTTCAGCTTTCCAATTCCTCCCCCCTCCCTGTAGCCTTTACCTAGGAAAAGTACAGGCTTTCTCCACAGTGGTGACCAAAGCACCTCACATCATTCTCCTCTCCCCCTTTTGATTTGCACAACAACCCTGTGAGGTAGGTTAGGCTGAAAGTCTGTGAGTGGTCTGAAATTACCCAATCAGCTTCCACAGCACGAATCTGGGTCTGGCAGACCCTGTTCTGAAGTGCTAACTGCTATGACACTCTGGCTGTCTTGGGGGGCCACCTCAGCAGGGTATAATGACACAGAGCCCACCATTTTCTCCAGGGGAACTGATCTCTGCCATCTGGAAAGCAGTTGTAATTCTGAGTGGTCTCCACTCCTCACCAATGGTTCCCCAGGAGGAAGTGGCTGGTTTAGAGGGTGAAGTCTATGGCATTGTACTTGTCTGAGGACCCACCCCTCCTCAAACCCCACCCTCTCCAGGCCCCACCCCTCAAATATCCAGGAATTTCCCAACCTAGAGCTGGCAACCCTATCTCCTTCCCAGCCAACCATCAACCTTCCCCTCTGACTTCGGCTTTCCATCTCCCCTCCCACACCTGATGCCTCTACTTAGGAAAAGTACAGTCTTTCTCCACAGAGGGGACCCAAGCAGGAGGGAAGCAACCTCAGCAGGGTATAATGACACAGAGTCCACCCTGCAAAGCAGCCATTTTTTCCAGGGGAGCTGATCTCTGCCACCTGGAGAGCAGTTTAAATTCTGAGTGATCTCCAGCCCTCACCTGGAGATGGGCAGCAATGGTTCCCCAGGAGGAAAAGTACAGTCTTACTCTGCAGTGGAGACCAAAGCAGCTTACATTGTTCTCCTCTCCCCCTTTTGATCTGCACAACAACTCTGTGAGGTAGGTTAGGCTGAAAGTCTGTGACTGGTCCAAAATAACCCACTCAACTTCCACAGCAAGAACCTGGGTCTGGCAGACCCTGTTCTGAAGCGCTAACTGCTACGCCTAGGACAGCCAACCTCCAGGTGGAACCTGAAGATTGCAGAATATCACAACTGAACTCCAGACAACATATCTCTCTCACCCTGGAGAAAATAACTGCTTTGGAGGGTGAACTCTATGGCATTCTATTCAGCTGAGGCCTCTCCCCTCCTCAAACTCTGGCTTCCATAGATTCCACCACAAAATATCCAGGAGTTTCCCAACCTGAAGCTGGGAACCCTAGTCAGGACTGGCCCCAGTGAGTTCCTCACAAAGGCCTGGAAAGGACCTCCTGCCTTTGCCTTTTTACTGACAGAACCAAGCTTGGTTGCCTAGCAACAGCAACTGAGGGAAAAGTTAGTCCCACAGGAGCCAAGCAGGAGAAGTGTCTTCATCAGGAGAGACAGCTGTTTTGGC